CCAAAACTTCAGGCAAGTTCTTTTCTTCCTCCTTCCCGTTGGCCTGTGTTCTGTGCACCTAGATATACTCTAGGGTTCTAATGGATCAATAATTGAATTAAGCATGTTTTTATATGTCAATTTAACCTTATCTTTGCCTTGAATAAATTCGGTGATGGTTCTTTAACGTTCATTACAGTAGTTGTTTTCTTAAGCGTGATTTGTCTGTGGAATTTGTAGTTTTTGTTTTTGATTTCAACTGTTGTAAACACTCTATGGGGATTATACTGGACATAGTTAGGACCCTTGGGAATAGTCTAAAACTAAATAAAATGGATGGGAAGCGACCGGCGTTGAAGAAGAAGGTCGCAGAAGTCACAGAGGGACAGACGGCTCGCATAGAGGGAGAGAGCCGGCTCCATGGAGGAGGGAGCCGGCTCCCCCCTAGTGTAGAGCTGGCTCTAGGAAGTGTAGAGCCGGCTCTACCCAAGTAGAGCAGGCTCCAATAAAAATTGGAGCCGGCTCCCCCTTTGTTCATAACCTGTTCTCGCTCAGTTTGCTTCCGGAAGGTGTTTAATGCACTGTTTGAAGCTGTTGTGTGTTTGAACTTAAAAAAAAAAATATTGGGACTTGCCATAGTGATTAAGAAGTTAATTTTGGGTCTAAATAGAACTTTTAATTGATTAAATTTTACCTCTAAGTTAACGGAACAAACTGTATAAAATTTATGCACATTGTACACGATTAAGGAATGGAAGAAGACTTAATTGCTCAAGCTTATTTTTGAGCATTCCAGTGGGATCTAATATGTTTATAAATTGTTCTAAATACATTATAGGGTCATTGATGTATTGAAGTTGACCTATGCATGCTTTGGAGGCTAATTGTTGAAATAGTAAATACTTTCTGCAATGATATGGATTATCGTTTGGATTTTTAATTGCTAGAACATCAAATATCTTCCTGCAATTATTTGGATAATGTTTTGGAATGTAATTTACTAAATTATGATTTCTATATTGTAATTGGCATTGATATGGAGGGTTATATGCACCGGTATGGGACGGTGGCATACTAGGGATGGTTTAGCTTCAAAACGCTAAGACCTAACCTAATGGATTAATGGAATGGATTGAAAGATATCGAATCCTAATTGTGGTTAAGTCAGATCAACTGTAACCAAGTTGGATGACTTCCTGGATTAACGGATGGTAGTTACGTCATATCAACTGAATAAGTTGAGTGACCAACTCGTTGGTTTATTGTAGGTCAGTTTAATAAATAGTTGAACTGCTTACCCTGGATTTGGACGGATTTTATATATATGTTTATGGTACCACGAGTTGAGCTTGAGTCTCAGACTTGTTGGTTAGGGTGCGTATATGCAGTGAATGCGTAGCTGGTTATAATAGGTTGAGGTGTACCCTGTTAGGTCTAGGTACTCATGCCCACCTTTGGGTGCGTATTCGCATGTTTCCTTCTATTCAGGTTGAGACCCCTATTATAGACTAGTGAATGTCCCTTAGTGTGGATATATTTATACGTATGGACTAGATAGATATTGTGAGGTGTCTACGGTGTATCTGCGTATCGGGTCACTGTATGGATTGCAGTTAGATTAGAACTTACTCGTGGGTCTGACCCACTCCTTTATTATTCTTTTCAGGTACAGGACGGTTCCAGCCTTAGAGCTTGATCGTGCTTGTCGAGGACAGTCTCACTTTCATCTAATTACGTAGGACTTCTCTCGATATTTTTAGTATTATCTATTTTCGGTTTCATTCTCAGTTGAACTTTTAGTTAGGGCTCCATCAGTGGATTCCCAAGTTGTAACTTTGAAGTTTTGGAGGATTGGAGTTTCAATTTTCAGTTATACATGGAGGATTTTATAATTAATGTTTCTTTCAGTTTTATTCTGTCTTTATTGTTCTTTTTGTCATCTGTGTTCGTTTTAAAATACTTTAATTGTTTGATATTCCCTCGGGTTTGGGCCTGGGCCTGATCAACCCGTGTCTCGGATCCGAGGGGTATCACAGTTTCTCTCTAAAAACTCTCTGTATCCTTCCGCCCCTTACTGCTGCTATAAGGGTTTTTCAAACCCTATTGCAGACCATCGTATATATTTATATAGGTTAAATAAAACCCTAACTCCAATCCAATACTAAGTCGGCTAATTATAAAAGAAAAGAAAAATAAAATAAAAGTACAATTACATCAATATAAACTGGCCTATACGTTTTAACCAATTATATACATATAATTTCTCATTAATATATATATATATATAACCTAGTAACATAATATTATTATTATCACCATTAAAATAAATAACAACAATAATAACAATCTATATTCGCCAATATATATATGCGAGTATATATATATATATATACCACCAACCATATATGGGAATTACTCGTATCCATCTGCAACCTCTATTCAAATAGTCCATGAGACTCCCTGTTGGTCCATTACTACGATCCAAATCCATCAATTTAAACTAAAAATAAAACATAATAAAATAAAATAAAAGTCACACCAAAATCAAATAACAAATAATTTCCTTCTACACTTAATGTAAACACAACACTTAAACACACACAAAATTAAACAATTAATTCAATTACACATATATCATAAAAGTATCAAACCGCATAGCCACGTAAACAACTAAAATCAATAAAAATAAATAATAAAAATTTCAATTATATCCTTTTTAAAACTAGGGGTATTACAATTTCCTGGCTAAAATCCTGGTATCGTCTCTAACTTTATACTTTGCTTTATTTTATCTGCATGTGATTAATTGTTTAATTGTTAAAATAAGTAAAGTTGTTAAAATAAGTAAAGTTGGTAACGATACAGATCTGTTTTAAAACAAACAAAACTTTCTAAGCATTTTCCGCTGCATACGACTCACATCAACGACTGAAATTTCCATGATCTTCCCTTTCTTCAACCAAGTTTTGGGTGTGTTGGGGGCTCTTAACTTTTGGCAAAGGCTATATATTTCCCGGTGGAAATGTACTTTGTGCAAAAGAAGATAGTGGCTTGGACAAGAAAGTGGATTGTTCTTCTTATTTTTAGCATAGTTTGCTTTCTTGTATCAGTAGTGGCCTTAATTGGATCAATTAAGGGTCTTATAAGTGCAAAACTCAACTAAAATTAAAAATGCAGGGTGATGCTCTTCAAAAAATTTCATTATTAATATTAGGATTTGCAAATGCCAAGACGCGAGCTCCCAAAGACAACATTGTTCTTCATTAATTGATTATAGAATAAATACGTATTAGTCTTTTTTTCTTTTTCTTTTTTTATTGACAAGAAACTCACACATCCACTTTGGACACTTTAAAAGGTAAAGGAAATACCACACTTAAAATATTCTTATTATTATAATAATAATTATCATCATCATTAAAGCCATTTCTTTCTCTCCTAAATTATCCAAAAGACGTACTAAACACAAACTTTCATCTCCATCCGTTTTTTCTTTTTTCCTTAGGTGCTATCTTGATGTAGTCCATTCACAAATGTACAATCATTTTTAATTACAAAATTAAAAAATATAACATGTGAGGAAAACTTATTTATGGATAAATCACATTCTACATTCACCCACCCTCTTTATTTTCTTTATTTATTATTTTTTTATTCTGTAATTTAAGACGATGGGTATATTTGTAATTAGACTATGATCAAGAAGAGTACCTTCTCATCAGTGAGTAGGTTAAGGAAAAAAAAAAGAAAAATTATTTTTTTCCTAACAGTAACAAATGTTAGTATTCAGATGAAAGTAACAATTTATTTTTTCCTCCAATTTTTTATTTTTTATTTTTCCATAATTGGTGGGTCAACAAGGCATTCATTAAATTACATTAAGCACCAATGTTTTGTTACGTTAAGCACTAATGGAAGAAAAGAAAAGAAACGAATAGCTTACTGTATTCGTTAAGGAAAATATATATATATATAATTTTAAATTATATTTATCATAATTTTATAATTTTAATTTTTTTATGATAATTTCAGGTATCTTTTCACATTAAAATTTGTAAAATAAAAAGAATGACTGATCCATCCTATTTATTATTCATACTTCGTCCTTTCCTCTCATTCATTTTTCGTTCTTCTTTCTTCTCATTCATTTTTCACTCTGCATAATAATTACAAACATTTACGTAGACAAAGACAATGAAAAAGAAATGGCGTCCTTGGACTTTCCACTCTGCATAATAATTGTTGAATAAATAATTGAGGCAAGTTGAGTGTTCAATAGGCTATAAATTTTGTTAAGAAACACCAATTTTAATATTTGTGTACTTTTAACTTTGCTAATTCAATCCTTGATTAATTTGATACTTAAATAATCCAACTCAATCGAATTCATATATATTAAGATCGTGTTTGGTTAACTTCATAAAAAAACACTTTAGTAATTATTTGATTCAAAATATAGAAATTTACGTTTTTTTTGAAATAGACAAGTCACTCAAAAGGTCCAACCAAGATGTCAATATTTAACTACTTACAGTAAACTGCACATCTCAATATTCCCAAATTTAGAAATGATGTGAACCATTATGCTCTTTTATTTAGGTGTTTTTGTCAAAACGAGAACAACAATATTTTATAGCCACCTTTAAACCTAGAGCTCTACCAAATTTTGCTGTTGAGAATTGGGACCACCCATAGACTGTAACTGCAATAAAATAATGATGATTTTTGTTACTAAAACTAAAATAGAATAGACCATAAACTACTCAGCAATCAGTTGACAAAAAGTCAGAACTCTATGTATAAAGCATAAGATAAGATTATTTTCAATTAATCTACATTGACAAATCTCCAAATCCATTTAAATGCAATGATCAATAAGAAGAGCTTATGGATCTTGTATGATGGATGCTTTTTGTTTTGCCTTTTTTTTTTTCTTTTTTTTTTTTAGGTCTCTTGAACTTAATCAAAGAGCTAAGCTTTTGAAATCAAAACGCTTTAATACTTTGCTGTAAAAACTCCAATAAGTGAAGTGTACTCTTTTTTCAATTTTCTATGAAAGCACACATAATATTTGTTTTTATTTTACCTTTCTACAATACAGTTATACATATTCTAACATACTATTACATTATTAATATACATAAAACTTAATTAACCTTACAAGCTCACACTAAAACTGAAAATTCAATAATGTTTTCCTGTCTTAACATCTTATTCACTAGCTGAAAGATGGTAGGCAATAGGAATCACACACAGATCTCTTTTCTTGCTAACTGCTGCACCAAAGGCCTCAGTCATGTCTAGATCTCCTTGCTTCTCTCCAAGTTTCCAGTCAAAGTGATACAATAAATTAGCAAGTGCAAGCTCAACATTAGCTAGCGCGAATGATATGCCAGGACATATTCTCCTTCCAGCACCAAATGGTGTAAATTGAAAATGAGTCCCCTTGTAATCAATTGAAGTGTCAAGGAATCTCTCTGGATGAAATCTCTCTGGATCACTCCAATTTTTAGGATCCCTACCAATTGCCCATACATTGACAAGGATTTGAGTTTTCGCAGGTATTTCATATCCGTTGATTTCACATCTCTCTCTACTCTCTCTTGGAATTAATAAAGGGAGAGGAGGGTGTACTCTGAGAGTTTCTTTGATAACTAACTTTAAGTAACTCAATTCATGGATGTCATCTTCAGTAAGAATATTTTCTTTTTTGCATGAAACATGTCTTACCTCAGCTTGTGCCTTTTCGATAATTCTTGAATTTTTCAACATTTCTGACATTGCCCAAATTAAAGTTGTAGATGATGTTTCAATCCCGCCAGCAAACATGTCCTGAAAGAGCTTTAAAATTGAGTTGAAAGAATAGAGAATATATATAGACCAATGTCATTAATATCATGACTTATATATTGATAGAGTCCTATTATGCTATCTAAGAGCTTGGCCTGAAAAGATGCAATTTTGGGCATTAGCCACTTTTGGTGTTGGACTAGCATTACATGTATGTATATTGAAAATGTTTGAAACTGAATTTTATTGCGTAAAAAGGGTTTTGGACTTTGGCTCGGCTGAGGTAAAAATTAATTCATTGATTTTGGCAGAAGCAGAAATTAAATGTACTAACCAAGAGAACTGACTTGATGATTGACGTAGTTAAGGGGATCTCAAGGTTACCCTTCTCCTGAAGTTTTAGAAGAATATCAACCAGGTCTTCATGAACAGCTTCACCATCACCGATCTGTGTTGCCACCTTGCTAACTTTATGGTCATCAATGATGTTGGTTAATGCCCTATCAAGGTTTTGATGAAGCTTCTCAAGTCTATGTCTCAGCCCATTTATCAAAGGAAGCACTTTAATTGAAGGAAAGAGATCAGCGAACTTGAAACTTCCTGCTACAACTGTGGCTTGCCTGATAAGTGATATGAATTCTTTTTGGCCATGATATTTCTTACCAATGGCTGCCTTTGCAGTGACACTGTATGTCAACGAGAAAATCTTTTCACTGAGATTGATGAGGGATCCTGTATTTGTCGAAATAGATTTGATCAAATTCAAAGTCTCTTCTTCCCTGATGGGTCGGAATGATTGGACGCGTTTAAAACTTAAAAGCTCCAGTATGCAAATTTTTCGAAGTTGTCTCCAGTAATCCCCATAAGGTGCAAGGACAATGTCTTTCTCAGATATGATACTTACAGCAAGATTAAAAGGCCTGCTAGCAAAGATGATATCATGTGTTTTCATCACCTCTTTTGCAATTTCTGCTGAAGAAATGACAACGATTGAAAGTTGTCCAAGTTGCAGGTGCATCAGAGGTCCGTGTTTCGTGGCCAAATCTCTTAGGCGGTGATGGGGTAGAGTTCCAACAAATTGGTGGATGTTTCCTATTAGAGGTAACTTCCATGGTCCAGGAGGCAGTTTTGGAGATGAACTGAACTTGGTTTTGAATACCATGAACAGAAACAGTAGGAATGTGAAAAGAAATGGGAAGGAGATGAATGGGAACTCCATCATCAATTCGAGTGTTCACTTGTCTCAGTGGAATGATTGCTTTTCATCCACATCTCTCTGTAGATTCGAGTGTTCACTTGTCTCAGTGGAATGATTGCTTTTCATCCACATCTCTCTGTATCACTTGCTTCTACAATATAAGAAAAAGAAAAAACTATTTTAGACACTATTTTGAATACAAGGTTCCTTTTTTTAGCAAGTACAGTAAAACTCAGGTTTTCACCACGACCTGTAGAAATTGTTTATATTTAAGACAGTCGAACTTACACCTTACACTTTATGCTTTATGAGGCATAGGATCAAGGCGACTCAACACTCGATCCAACGCCTTAGATTAGGCGGTGGTTGTTATATTCTTTGTTTTGTGAAAAAGTTGCTTACAGTTGGTGCCACTAATTGCCACATATAAATAAGTGAAATGTTAGGTATGAATCAAGGAAGATATTCAGAAACAATAAATCAAACGTGTGGAGCATTTTGAGAATAGTCTGTTAATTACATGTAAGAAGTATGAACTAATTTTGATTCCATGGGAAGTCAAATGCCCTTTTGCATGGAAGATCTTGCTAAATTCCTGAATTACTATAGATTTTGTAAATTAAATGAATAAAACACGTATAAATCATCTAATTCATCAAGATTTTGAATAATTCACTCTGATACCAAAATCAAATATAAGATGTAAAATCTACCAACTGCAATCACATAGCACTATATGCCCTTAATAGATCTGAAATTTAATTATTTGAAATTAATTTTTCTATTTGGATTAAACTTGCATATCATTTGGAACAAAATCCCAAAATCTAAGTTTCTTGTTTCCATAAACTATTCAATTGGAATACAAATTTGAAATATTTGAAATTTCAATTCTCAACCAAAGTTATTATATATATAAGGTCAAGTGCAGAAAACATTCTTATGCTTACGATGCATATTACACCCCCTCACGTGAAAAAAAAAAAAAAAAAAAAAAAAAAAAAACAAACCTATAAAGTTTCAATTTGGTACAAATAAGTCCCTCTGACAAATTTAAACCCTAAATTGACTAAATTACCCTTACTGAACCCTTTTTATAAAATATATAAAAATAAATAATTTTGTAAAATAACTGAAAAAGACACTATTGGAGGTCGCCGGCAAATTCGGCAATGGACAAGTAAAGATAAAAATAAAAAATTAAAATTAAAATTAAAATATAAAAGAAAAGTAAAGATAAAAATAAAAAATAAAAAATAAAAAACGAAAAACGAAAATAAAATACAAACTAAAGAAAACAAATCTATTCCTAACTCCGAAAATTAGTGCACAATGATATTAGATTTTTTTTTCCTTTTTTTTTTTTTTTTTGTTTATCAGTGTTGGTACGAAAATAAAAAAATAAAAAAAAGTAGAAAACAATAAATTGAAATCTCAAAAAATTCTAATCCTGGTTCTACAAATTCTGAAAGATTAAAAAAAAAAAAAAAAAGTTTAGAGATATATATAAAGAAAAAAATATTTTTTAAAAAATATATAAAATAATGTGCACATAACACCCATATACTATTAGATTAATAACATATATATCCCCTTAAACATTTTCAAAAGAGTAAAAGGGCAAAACAGGTATTACAACACTAATTTATGTCACATGGAGTATTTTTGCACATATTTTAAAATAGGGATAAAATTGCTACGCGGAATATAATTGAAGGGTGTTTTCTGCACTATATATATACATATATATAGAGTAGTGATCTCTTACTCCCCATGGAGCCAGAAAATTCTTCTGCACTTTCTATAGTAACCATCAGATTAAATCTAATAGTCATATTCCACACCCACCTATATACTTTCATTTTAATACAAGACCACTATTACTATTTCTAATTTCTAAATTTAATATTTACTAATACCACTAATTACAACAATAAAGGTAAATACCAAACAAATAAAAATATAAATCGCTTCACCTCTAGAACATCTTACCATCACTAATCGAAATTTTTATTTTCTTTGATGTCTTTGTTGTAACTTTACATATCTTTTTATACCTTTTTTTTTTATGATAGTGAAAATGAAAATAATGGTAGCAAAAAAATAAAAAAAATAATGATAGTGAAAACGAAAAAAATGATCTATTTTATTTTCTTATTATTAGTAATTGGAATGTATTTACAATTAGTTAGAATTTGAAATAAAATAAAACAAAACTAATAAGAAGATGAGACAATTTGTGATAAAGAGTAAGAGAAAAATAAATTAAATTTTTAATTTTTAGATAAGAAGCATTATATAATAATTTAAATTGTAATCTATTAAATTTTGGATCGTGATAAACAATTTAGACCGATCTCCTAGGCAGAATCTAGGTGGCTTATTGCATGGCAGTCCAATTGTCAAAGTTTTGAAATCTTTTCCTCTCTCCTCTCTTTTTCTCCTCTCTCTGAATCTCAGAGAAGACCACCCAAACCCAGAGGGACAATGGTGCCCTCATATCAACAAACCTATAACACCTGATGCATCAATACTTTCTCGTCAAGCCCCGACCGTGGCCCTCCCTCGCCGGTCTCGAAGTTGTTTTACCGGCAAGAAACAACGAGAAACGGCAAGCTGAACGTTGAGATTGAACTGACCGATGAAGCGACTGAACAACGGTGAAGAGGGCTGTAGGATTGTTCAGCGAGCAAGAAAATATGGTTCTGGGTTCGATACTCAATTAATGAGCTAGACCCAGAAGAGAGCTTAGATATAACAAGTCCAAGTTGAGTTGTAATTTAAATTACTTATTTTACAAGTCATCAAGTTCAACAGGGATTCCACAACTGGGAAGGAGTTCAAACTTACCTTACTTGAAGAGTTTGTGATGAAAAGGGTAAGGACACTACATTAGGAAGGAATATAAACAAGGTTGGGCATTCTACACTTTCCATGCTAGTATACAATTTCCGTAGAATGAACCAAAGCTGAAGGAATTCGAAATTCAAGTGTGCCAACCTTGAATTGGTTCAAGAAGTTTGACATACTGCCAGTTATTATTCAAAGCCTTAGGAAGTTAATTTCTCTCAGAAAATCAAAATTGATTTTTCTGTTGTCTTTCTAGAACCCACATATATTCACCTAGTGAGTCTAGAGTTGTGGTGTTTGAATCATGATCGTGATCATACAGTTGTATTAACATCAATCAGACAAAGTAGATATTTTTCTACATCATTCAGACAATTAAAGAACAGAAGTAAACGCAGTCACACTTTGGAAGGGTTGGAGCATTCACGGAGTGCTGTCTGATCTACCTGTTACTCTTTTACAAATATCAAATATAAGCCTAAGATCAAGTTGCTATTGGACAAGGAGTCGCAAAGCCAGAGGATCATCAGTGGTTGGTGTGGTGTAGAACGATAGGGTGTGAGCCAGAGTCAAAGTTCAGTATACTTTATTCCAAGCATAGTGGATTGGTTTACTTTGGACTGCACAAGTCCACAAAGTTTTTCCCATAGCAGTTGACGTATTTTATTAATTAGGATTTTCTCGCTAAAATCCTGGTGTCATCTCTAACTTTATATTTTACTTTATTTTATCTGCATATGATTAACTATTTAATTGCTAAAATATAAAATAAGTAAAGTAGTTAAGGACAACTTTATTTTATCTGCATATGATTAACTATTTAATTGCTAAAATATAAAATAAGTAAAGTAGTTAAGGACACAGACAAAACTTAAAACTTTCCAGTATACATTCCGCTGCTACTCACAGATAAAGGTCTGAATAGCGAGAAGCTCGGATGGACAGAACCGGCGAACAAGAATAAAAATAACAGAATTGGCAGCGAACATGGATGAATAGAACGGCGGACGGCGGTATGAAGGCGACAGCAAAGTGTTCGGCGGTGAAACAAGTTTGAATTCATGGTGTCTATGGCCTGAATATGTATACGTATATATTGACCAACAGTGTATGCTCCATTGACAACCGGAAAAGCTTAAACGAAGACGAGAGAGGAAGTTCAAGCAGATCACAATCAGAGCAGAGCAACACCGGACCTAATTTCAACTGACCCAACCGCGTAGCTCGAAACAACCACGACTAAGCTCAATCCGACGAGCCCTCAAGTAGCGGCGCAAGCTCTCAAGCCTCGGCAAAACCTATATCTGTCCGGCAATCTCCATATTAACACCGAACCCATGTTAAAATGTTGAAATGAGAAATAAAAAGTCTACAATGAATGATGGTTGTTATTGATTAGTGCAAAATTAGAAGTTCAAAGTCCATGTTTGAGTTGAACAGTAAAGAAGACTTTGTAGGCTAAATGTTGAATAAATTGTGTGTTGTACATCAGACCATTAATGATGATTTGATAGTCTTTGTATGTGTAGAGTCCTAGTAAAGAGTACTTTGAAAATCGGAAGACAAGATGAATATAGGAAGGTAGAGCTGTAGTCCATGTATATGCTGGTTGTCTGAAAATTTTAAGTGTTGTATTCCTTCTGTTTTCTTCTTTTCTCTTCTCTGTTTCAATATTTCATCTACTGCAATTAATTCTTATCAATTAAAATCATTTTCTCTCTTCACACAATAACAACCCATCCTTGTTTTCATTAGCTACCCAACCGGCGGCCCTCCTATGCTCCGACGACTTCTTTTTTTACCTCTCCGTTCGCTTTTCTCGGATCCACCGTTCACCACTTCTTGCCTATTTCCCTCTCCGGTTCCAATCTACCCTTCTTTGCTTTGTACGGAAAAATGGGTCTTCATCTTGTGAGAAAGAGAAAGAGACTAAGAGAGAGACCCAAATTGAACTCTGCAACCGCCGGCAACACCAACCAGATCGTTCACCATTTCTTGTTTCTTTAGAATGCGTGAGATATTAGTAAGAGAAAAAGAAATAGAAAAAGAAATAGAAAAAGAAAAAGAGGAAAGAGGAAGAGAGGAAAGTAGTCTAGCTGGACACGCCACATTGCTTCTGCTAAAATAAACGGTCAGATACATCATTTAAAGTATTATTTTCTTTAAAAAAGATTATGGGTGAAATGTTATGCAAAAATCACATGGTACTTTAAGTTGATCAAGTGAATAAAAAATTTGAGATTTTATTTTTAATTATATTGATAAATATTAAATATGAAAACTAAAAATAGTAATAGTAATTTTGTATTAAAAGAAAAGTATATAGGTGGGTTTAAAATGTGACTATTGAATTTACTCGAATAATGATCACTGTAAATCGTGTAGAAGAATTTTTTTATTCTATGAAGAGTAAGAGATCACTACTATATATATTATTTGTGTACTATATATAATGTAACCGCTGCAGTTTCTATCTTACATGCATCAAACATTAATTGATAAAAGGGTAAAGTACAATGACACCCTTTGAGGTTTGGCATAAGGACAGATAGATACAAGTTGGCCCATTTTTGGACAATCACACCCCTTCAAATTTGATAAAATGGACAAAGAGACCCCGACAATGATAAATTGACTTTAATACCCTTTGATATAAAATTGACATTTTAATTTACTTAAATACCCTTGGATTAAACCCAAACCCAAACAATCCTAACAGTGTAAAGAACCCAATTTCCCTTTCTCTCTGTGTATGTGTATATATACACACACTATGTTGACCATCAAAACCGCCACCACCGCCATCATCACACCTCCGCCTCCGCCGTTGTCGCCACAACATCACACCTCAGCCGTCGGGGTTCACCCTTCAGGCGCATCATCATCACACCTTCACGCGCTCTTTCTTCAGCGATATTTTTTCGGAGCTCACCGTCTGCCGCTAAGGTTCACCACCTCCTTCATGAAACCCTCGTAAGTTGCAGACGAGGTTATGGTGCTCACCATCTGCCGTCGGTGCTAACCACCTCAATTTCTCGGCCATAGAAACCGACCGGAGCCACCTTTGTTAACCCTTGCTTCGACTTCACCTCCTACCAACAACGACCACATCTATAAGCTCTCTCTCACACACACAGCTCACAACAACCCTTATTGGCGGCAGAACCACCGATTTTATCCTCTATCCGCATCATCCAGATCTGATGATGACGGAACCAATTGTAGAGTCAAGCCAAACGCCCCTCTTTCTTCAGCAATCACTCTAGACTCAAAGCTTCGCTCTACGCTCAAACATCAACTCTCTGCCGTCGTCAAGAATCAAAGAAGCCGATGTGGGGAGTACGTCTCTGTCAATCCTTGATTTGTCCGTTTCACACCGAAAATGGTGTCATGTGGAGGTGGTGTCATGGCCGAAGTTTTGGGTCTGGGTTTGATAGGTTTACAATATACATATAGATATATGTATAGGTGTAGTAAGTGTATAAGGATAAAAGAGTCATTTAAAAGTTTTGATATTTATAATTTAAATTAATAAAATATTAAAGGGCAATCTTGACTTTTTACCAAATTTAAGGGGCTGTTTGGATCAAATTTCTAACAAGGGAATATAATTGTCCAAAAATAGGCTAACTTGTATCTGTCTATCCTTATACCAAACCTCGGAAATGTTTGTATATTTTACCCTTGATAAAATTAGCTGGAGGTGCATGGTCCTCAAATAATTGTTGGATTGAAGTTGACATTCTGGGAAGGCTTAAATGAAAATGACCATTGCTATTGCCGGTCACGAGTCATGACCAAAGAAGCAGTCCAAAAACAAAATTCTCTCTCCTCTCACTTTGCGAGTCAATCCCAGGACACTCTCTCTCACTTTGCGGTTCAATCCCAGTACACACTCTCTCTCTCACTCTCTATTTTGATTTTCAGTTTTTTCTCTAAACAATACAAAACACTGACGGCATTATTTACTGGATCAAATAGATACTAAAATTTGAGTCCAAACTTGAAAGATATCGGATTGTTTTATGGGAAAATTACATATAAATGGAGTCAAAGTTCCATATTTACTTAGAGACTGAGTCAAAGTTCCATATTTCTCTAAAATGGATTACTGAGGTGGCACATGTTTTTTTACTGTTTAGAAAATTGTGGTGCCTAAAATGCCCTTCTCTAACAAAAAAGTAGTACCTTCAGTGCAAAAAAGTAGTACCTTCAGTTCAAAAAAGTACCTTCGAAGAAAAAGTAGTACCTTCGCGGGTGTTTAAAAAACATGGTACCTGGACGCCAAAAAGTAGTACCTTCAGTTCAAAAAAGTAGTACCTTCGAAGAAAAAGTAGTACCTTCGAGGAAGGGTATTTTAGGCACCACAATTTCTAAACAGTAAAAAATCATGTGCCACCTCAGCAATCCATTTTAGAGAAATATGAAACTTTGACTCAGCCTCTAAGTAAATATGAAACTTTGACTCCATTTATATGTAATTTTCCCTTGTTTTATCGGTCGTGTTAGAGATGAAATGAAAAGAAATAAAATATAAAGAATAAATGGAGCTCAGACCTAGAAACTTTTCCCCTACATTTGGAATTGGGCGGACCCAAAAAAAATCAAGGAAGTTTAGGAAGTAGAAGAAGGAAAAAAATAAATAAAGAAAAAATAATAGGAAAAGAAAAATGATAGAATTTTAAAAAATAAAAAAATAATAATAATAAAATAAAATAAAAAGTTAAGAGAATTGTTAGAATTTAATATTTTTAGGAGGTATAATATACAAATTTCTATATATATGTAAAAATAATTTTAAAAGTCATATATATTATATAAGGAGGGGCCAGACCATGGCAAGTGCCACCACCTAGACATATGCTTGATCCGCCCCTGGTGGACCAAATTACAAAACCAATATAAGTCATCTCTTTTACAATTTGGATTGATTCTCAATTTGATTCCGTTCTAATGTTTATGCTTTTTAAAATTTAAGGATGAATTTACCGCTGATACAACATGATGGTAACTACAAATAAATAAAAACATGACAAGATGGTCAATATAAAAAAATAAAATAAAATGTTATATTTTAAATTTTTTAATAGTAATATTATAAAAGATCACGGAACCAATTATATCAAGAAAATCTGATCTAAAGGAGTGGAGAAAAGTATTACTATCTTGTGAGGGTGTGATAATTTTCGTTTCTCGGTCTCCAGTTTATGGTAGTGTGTTTTTTTCCGATAATAATAAAATATACAAATATATATATATATATATATATATATATATATACACACACAATGGATTTTTGAATTGTTCCTAGTTTGGGTCTGAATTTCTTTTGTATTAAACCTTGGTTTAATGGTCTGGGTTATTGTATCATGGGTTGGCCCTCTCTATTTGGGCAATTCCTCTCTTGTGGCTGTAAATTTTCTACTGTTAATATATTCATAATCTTTACCTTTTTTTCTTTGCTTAACTTTTAAAAAAATAATAATAATAAAATAAAATAAAAATTACGAGGGAGAGAGAGAGACTTACAGTGTTGGAGATAAAATTGTAACGAGTGTCTTCAGTGTAGATTGGAACACTGAATGTAGAGAGAACTTTGCCCTGTACTTATAGTGAAAGTTTAGACAAATTGTAGTGTGTTTGGTTTTTTTTTTTTTTGGTTGGATGACAATACAAAGACATAAAAAGTTTGCAAGACAAATTAGTCCATGTTCAATGTATGACTCTGTTAGTCCACAGTCCAATGTATGACTCTTAGATGGGGGACCTTGGACAACTTGCTTGTTTTTTTTTCTTTTTCTGTCTTTTTTAAATAATTAAAAAAAAAATTTAAATCAGCCTCCAACTGAATTTTTTGTCAATGGTATTCCACAACTTCATTGGCATGTGGTTTCGTAATTGTTGTAAAGAAATAAAATTACGAGTAAAGTGGCAAAAAAAAAAAATCTCCTGAATTATGTTTAAATTTTTAAATAAATTTTTTGAAATATATTTTGTGCATAATACTATCATATTTTGTTGATAAATGGGTCAGGACTCTTTTTATTAAATGAACACAATATCATTTTTTTATTATTGAATTACACTTAATCCATTATTTTAATTAAAATAAATTATGAAAAAAAATTCATTTTAATTTGATGACATATTCTTCATTGAATTTGCATAAATTTACTTTTACTTTTTAAAATTAATTATTTAAATAAAAATATTGAGTAGAAAATTTTTAAACAATTAAAGTATTTTCTTAATTTTTCATGAATATATTGCATGAAAAAAGATATTTTTTATTTAATTTCATGAATATATTGTATGAAAAAGAAGATATTCTTTTAATGGTAAAAAAGTTTAAACCGAGTATCATAAGTTTTATCGTAAATAGTAAAATTTTAATAATAAGTTAATCATTTTAAATTTACAACTCTATTTATTTTTTTCTCATTGGAATGTTAAGACCATTTTTGCACTAAATTGATTCATAGGTCACTGTTTCTGGTAAATAGTTGACAAACGAGTAATATCACCTCTATTATGCAGTGTGATGACAAAATAGTAATAAAATTACCGTTCATTATATAATATTATAATAATTATATTATTTAGCTCTTATGCATTAACAATGTTTTCATGTAGTGTTAAACCCTTCTTCTTCTAGAACTGAACTACAGGATTCTGAATTAATAAAAAATTCAAAACTTATTGTAGATGAAAATGTTCAAATTCAATTTAACAAATGGATTATTCCTCCGGTTAGTGCTTATAACATATATAAAATCGAAATACTTGATACTGTTGATCGATGAGCAATTAAGTCCATGGAACAAACAATGCAATTAAATAGTCAGGATTCAATAATTAAATTATTGTCTCACTGGGATCTTCAAAAACATATGAAGAATTATAAATATATACATATTGGTTTAATATATACAAATTGCCTTTATACCTTTAACTTTGTTTAGCATGAATACATGCATTCAGGCAACAGTTATGTTGTGTTCAGTGTGCAGGAATGAAATAAAATGCAAGAGGGAATGAAATGAGAATGAGAATAGAATGAAATGGTCATTCTCATTTTCATTCTATTGTTTGGTTGTAAATATGTAATGTGTATGAATGTAATGATAATAATCATTCTAGTGTTTGGTTAGACCAATTTAAAATTTAGAATGAAATAAATTTTAAATTGAATTTTCCAAAATATCCTTCTTAGTAACAAATAAATTAAATTAACAACATGACATTCTCTAATAATTTTTTAAAATAAATGGTGGTAGTGGCTGTGGTGGATGGTAGTAGTGGCAATGGTGGATGGTGGTAGAGGAGGAAATCGGTAGTGGTGTAGGTGGTGGTGTTGGAAGGCGACGACGGTGGCAATGGTGGAAGGCGACGGTAGTGGTGGCGGCAGCATTGTTGGAAGACAGCGATGGTGGTGGTGGAAGCGATGGTGGAAGCCAATGGAAGTGACTGTGATGGTGGTGGGAGGTAGTGGAGGTGGTGGTGGAAGGTGGAGGCTGGGGAAGGCAATGGTGGTGGTGGAAGGCAGGGACGGTGGTGGTGGCAGTGGTGGAAGACGATGGAAGAAGGCGATGGCGATGGCGATGGCGATGGTGGTGGAAAGCAGTGGTCGTAGTGGTGGTGGAAGGCAACAGTGCTGATGGTGGTGATAGAAAGCGGTGATGGTGGCAGCGGTGGCGGTGGTGGTGTAAGGCGGTGACAGTGAAAGGCAACGGTAATGGAAGGCGGTGGTGGTGGAAAATGGTAGTGGCGGTGAAAGGTGGTGGAAGGTGGTAACAGTAGTGAAAGGTGATGGATGCGGTGGTGGTGGAAAGTGGTTGCGATGTTGAAAGGTAATGGCGGTGGTAGTGGTAGAAGGTGGTGGCGGTGGCGGTACGTGGTGGTGGTGGAAAGCTGTGGTAGCGGTGGTGGTGGTGGTGAAAGGGGGATGTGGTTATGGTGGAAGGTAGTGGTGGTTCTTGGACTTAGAATATGAGGGTTTTTTGGAAAGTTTATTTTTAAAAAAAAAAAAATTAATTGGGAATGGAATGGTTATTCTATAGGTTTAGTTGTGGAATAAATTTTCATTCCTAGGAATGAATTTTCATTCCAATGGAACGACTGTTCTCACTTTAAATTGCATACTAAATAATAGAATGGTTGGAATGGGTATTCCATTTTATTCTATTCCTGCACACCAAACGCAGCATTAGAGATGCTAGATGTTTAGATTACCGCTATTTAATGATGGGTGCTTTGAAAACCATTTTGTGCCATGGACTGGTTTAATTTAATGTACATCCTAGTTTGAATTTATCCCCCCCCCCCCCCCCCCCCCCCCCCCCCTTGGAAAAAAAAATTTAGTAGCCTAATGTTTTTAAAAAGAAAAAAATTACTGGTAGTATTAGCCCCTAACTTTAACCCATCCAAACAAGCCCAATATCTGAGCCATAATTTTAAAACAAAGACACAACCAAATAGGACTAAACCAAACAAGCCCTAAACAATCACTAAGTCAAAGCACAGAACTTCAAAATTCCTAGTCTTGTACAAATCAGAGAACTCACTCCTTCCTTCTCTCCTTCTAAAGTCTAACCCTATTTCTTCTAAAATTTTCCAACTCTTTAATCTTTCGATCCCTAATTTTCCCTTGTTTAATATTAGCCCCTCATTAACAATTCCTGGATTCGCCCCTAGCAGTAAGTCTTCGTATTCAAACTCATAGGTATAATTTCTTACCTAGATTTGAAGTAATAAATGTAATTTATCGAATTCATTACAAGGTATTAAATACCTTATGTCCAAAGGCTAAAAAGAAAAGCCTGTAATGTCCCAGATTTTTTTTTTCTGTATTTTTTTTTTAATTTTTTTGTTATTTATTTTTTGCACCTCGTTTTGCGTGCCCGTGGGTCCCGAAGGCTGTTTCAGTCATTTTATGATCCAAGGGTTTAAAAAATATATTTTTAATTATTGTAAGTCAATTAGAGTTGACAGAATCATTTTTAAAATTTTTTCAGAAATCGAAATGATTTTTGGGCTCGGGAATTTATCCCCATTTTCTTATTTTAAATGATATTTTGTGGGATATGGAAGTTATTGTAGTCATTTTGCATATATATATATATACATATACGTGTATTTAAGTATTAGAAAGATATTTTATGGGATATGGAAGTTATTGTAGTCATTTTGCATATATATATATATATACATATACGTCTATTTAAGTATTAGAAAGATATTTTATGGGATATGGAAGTTATTGTAAGGGAAGAGCAATAACAAGGTGGTAACTTGATCAAATATTAATATCCATTAATATATTGACAAGTGGCCAATGAGAGCCATTCCTGAGTTCGCAAGACAAACCAATCCATCCATTTCCTTTGAGGTGAAGGTGATAGCTCTGGACAGATTTGCATTTGTGGTGAATGGCATGGTGTATGGGTCGAGACTCCAGATTGTGATAAGATTCAAGTTTGTGCTGCTAGTCAACTAAGCAATACTATAATGAAGGACAAAATACGCAGAAATATAAGCCAATGATGGATGTGGCAATCAAGTGGTTCCACTTGTCTTACATACACAAGTATTGAAATACCATTGAAATGAAAATAGTTCTCCTTTTTTTTTTTTTTAAATGCTTTTGCAATGTCTTAAAATATATATCCCATTATTTTTTGTAATTATTATGAAATGTTATTTTATATTTTAATAAAAAAATATTTTAAAATTTTATCCTTATCAATACAATAAAAATCTATTATAACTCCAGTACTATAAAAAATTGAATTTCTCAACCAGGTTAACAAGAATTTTATGACAAATGGAGTATTGTAATTTTAATTTAAGTTTAAAATATATTTTTCAAAAAATATATATATTTTTAAATTATATATATATTATTTTTAATATTTGGCAAAGAAATAAATTGATATTGAGGCAAATTCATTTTTTTATTCCTAAATATTTTTCAACAATTAAGCATCCGAATCAATGGAGTGTTAATGACATTACCTGTTAGGAATATAGTGGGGAGGTCCAGATTTGAAATTGGGTAGTACAATTATGAGATGAAGGTGGGGCCTCTGGACAGCTTTGCATATTTTGTTTTAACACATCTTCAACCAAAGGTAATTCCGTATGCATGATTACTCTTTATCAGGAAAAAGAATAGGAGTAAAGAAAAAAAATATACTCAGTATGTAATTGTAGTGAATTGTTTAATCGCACATCATTATATTTGTAGTAAATTATTTAATTAAATACATTTTAATTGATTTTTTTTTATAATTAATATAAATAAATGGAAGACTTACTTTTTTATTTATTACATAAATAATTAATTAGAAATAATAAGGTAACAATGTACAAAAATCATTTTTCTTTAAAAAAGATACACGATGATTTTAGTTAGAAATTATGCCTTCTTCAATCACATCAATAACTTCCACTACGTTACTGTTGAATGGACTAGATTCGTCCAAGTGTTGAGTGGACTAGATTCTTCCAAGTGTTGCTTTGTAATGGTTGGTCTAGCCGAATTATCCTATCAAAAATATATAGATTTACACTTGAACACTTGTTTAGGTTTTGTTTATTTGGACGTAAAACATCTTTTAAAAAATATTTTTTTATTTTTTAATATTTGATTATAGTAAAATATTTATAAAAAAATATATATTAAAATTTAACAAAATTAATTTATTCATAAATTTTCGGTAAGTTATTTTATATGTCCCGTCCTATGAACTCGATCTCAATCTTGATGTAAATTATTACCAGATATTAACAAAGTAAAAATAAAAGAATATTTTAACTGAAAAAAAATATTTTTTTAAAAAATATTTTACGTCGAAACAAACGGATCCTTAATGTGATCAATAACATAATGTACACTATTTTTTATTTTTTTATTTTTATTTTTTTAAACATTAATGTACACTATTTGATGGGAATCAATAAGACATAATTATCACTAAATCACTGAATCAGAAATGATGGGATATATATTCACTTATTAAGATTAGTTAGCATATACAATTTTGTAATTAAAATATGATGTATATATTTATTATTGATCCATATTATCGATTAGAATAATGTATATTTTTATTAGTAAAGATCTAAGTATTGTTTTTATTTTCTTATGGAGAAAAAATAATACGAGTAAAGTAATAAAACAAAAAATGCTTTACTCAACTAAAAAACCATTCTTACCATTTAAACGTTTTTTTTTTTTTTTTTTTTGGCATTTTGGGTATTTAGTTGTATGGACTCAAATCAAACATTTTTTATTACTCCACTTGTTTTGACATATAATTTTTTATTTCAAAATATTTTCATTTTTCAAGAAAAATATATTTATTTTTTGTATTTGACAAAAATTTAGGTCGAGTTCATTAGATGAAATGTATAAAATAAATAGTCGAAAATTGATATAAATTATTTTTGTTAAATTTTAATATTTTTATTAATAAATATTTTAAGACAACTAAATATCAAAAAATAATAACAGATATTTTACATAGGAGACAAATGAAATTTGCAAAAATGAATTAGCTAAAAAAAAAATATTAAAAAGTCTTTTTACTAAAATTACGAATTGGAAGTAAATTATAAGTATTTGCCATTTGATTGGGTTAGATCTTTTAGTTGCATCCCGTGGACATTATTTTCTTGAATGGATGTCCACTTTTTTTATAAATATTATTATTGCCTGATTTAAAAAATATCCCTACCCAATAGATTTGACACTATTTTGTTGCAAGGCTCTGTAAGATATGACAAACAGGAACCATACACACCGAGTACGGACCAGCTGCGATTTTATATGGATATGACCGACCGAATTAATTATGTGGTGTGGTGTGGTGTGGTGTGTAGATATGTGTATAAAGTCAGGTTGTACAATTATGAAATGAAAGGACCATTAGGGACATTTATTGGTTTGTACAATGAGACAAAGAAAGGACGTCCACAGGCACATGCATGTGACAGTTTCAATTATTCAACTCTGTACATTAGCCTCTATTATAGCCACTCCTCTCTGTCCCAGGTATGTCCGGAATTTATTTTTTTTTAATGATAATGAAGTTTTAATATATTTTGATTATATTGATACGACTGTTTAGTTAAAAAAAATAGTTTAAAAATATTATAAAAAATTAATACATTTAATTATAAAATAGAATATATTTTTTGAAACATTTCAAAATAAAAAGATAAATAATTATTTTGAGATGAAGGGAATATTGTAATATAAAATTGTTTTCGAAGTCTTGCAGTATTTAGTTGTACATGAAGTAGAAAACTATTTTAAGATAATTATTTAAAAATCAACAAGTTTGTGACCAGGTAGTATAAAGCTCCTACTTCTTAAAAGGAACCACTACTTTCCAACGAGAAGTCAGGGTTTCGAAGTGGAGACAATGTGTTTGAATCCCAACTAGAAATATATATATATATAAATTAATTTCTTTATTTTTAAAAAAATTAAATTAAGCAAAAATTTATACCATTTTTTATTTATAATTTTGGAAATATAAAATTATTCTGCAGATGCTTCCATAGCTGGCTTAATGCTTTTTGTAAATTTTGGACTACCAGACTTTGACGCGTCTGCTAATCTAACTTTTAATACTTCTTACCTTGTATGTGTGTGTATTTATATATAATTATTATACCCAACCCATCAATCTCGCCAAAAAAAAATAATAATAAAATAAAATAAAAAACTCACTCAGAAGAAGGGAATAAAAAAACAGTTCATTTTACCCATTGTTGAAAGTGGTTGATGGCAAATATTTGCCATTTTATTGGGCTAGCTTTTTTGGCTGCGACCATGACGTGATTGTTGTCCGGTCAGGTGAGAAACCAAATCGGAGCTAGTTGACTCCCGCGGAATGTAAAAGCCATGTGCAGGAGAAGGAAGAGTTCAGCAAGGGGGCATCCAACATGGAAAGCAAAGCAATAGAGTAATTTTCTTTTCTTTTTTCCGAAGGTTGGAGCTAATATATAAATAAAAAGAATTGTACACAGATAGCCTTTGGCCCAAATTTGTCCCCAGAGGCCCAAACAGGAACTAAACAACATTTTAGCGGCCCAGGGCCCAAAATGAAACCAAACATAAACCAACAATGACGGTTACATAGCCGTTAATGGTGGAATGTGGCACAAATCCGGCAGCCAAGCTCTAACGGAATCGAAGATCATTGGCTTCGAGCCTTCAGTCCGGCGGCCGCGACGGAGGACGACAACAAGAGGGAGGAAGGTCCCAGTCCTTGAGGATGTGATGAGCAGTGATGGAATGTATAAAAATCCCCAATTTCAGGATTGAGGTAATGCTATTGAAAAGCCTAGATCGAATTGAATTTTGGCGCAACCTTGCACCACGAAAAATACCAGCATTTCTCTCCTCCCAAATGTGGTACACCAGTGCTGCAAGGGTAACGCTACACTTCACCTGAAAGAAAGTCCAAATTGGAGAGGTGAAATAGCATAAGAAGAGCAGGTGTCCCTTTGCACAGCAATAGAGTTGGTCTGCTGGAAAGCAATATGGAGGACAGGAATTCAAATTGAATTCCTAAAATATGAGAGAAAATATGTGAAAAAATAATTTTACTGATTAAATTAGTTAAAAAATAATAAAAATGAGTGAATTATCATAATGCTTCATAATCACACAAATGCAATGACGCACCATTACTACTAATTAATACACCCAAGTAAAATATACTTCATTGAAAAGTATAACACTAAATCGAAATCAACAAAATTGATGTTATGGTTATGATTAGAGAAAAATTAATTTAACTAAATTTTTTTCAATTACAAATTTTTGATATTATAGTTGGACTTTATTTATTGTAGTGGCACAAAAAAAAACTAATTAAACAGTATAATATTGGAAGAGAGTTTTAAAGGTCTAACCATTTATTATTCGGACAACACAACCACAGCCGATAGTAAATCAAAGTTAGGTTTTCATTACTTTGATCCAAATTTACAAGTGACTATTGATTTCAAGGCTCTCAAGTATGAATGGAGCAACTTAAAGAATTGGCAGCCCCATAGGTCGGTCAAGACATTGAAATGGGCTATTTGAATTCTTGGTTGGTGCCCCGTGTGATCAAGGTCCCAATCCATTGGACCATATACAACTAAATAATTCTATAACAAATATTACAAATCGTTTTCATCACGTTCCCAGTTCCACATATATGATATTTATTTCCCAAAATTGCATTCATTATCAAACCTCAATATCTCACTCCAAAAGAAAAAGGTAAAGCTATATTATAAAACTTTTTGAATTACAAAATCATATTTTTTTTTTTTTTTTTTTTTTTTTTGTAATTAATACTCTGACTTTCCTTCTCTCCCAAGCCCTAACAAACAAAATAAGGTATTACTTATCTCAATTTTTCTCTTCCATCCAATTAAACAAAAAGAAGAAAATGTATAATCTCTTTCTAGGGATGTCTCATTCATCTCTTCTTCTCTTCTTTCCATTCAATTTTCTTCCTTTCTACCACATGAAGTATTAGACATTTTCACTTAAAACACTACCAAATAATATATATATATATATATATATATATATATATATATATATATAAAAATAAAAAAGTGATCTTGAATAGCATGCTTCCATTTTTCAAACATAAAATTAAATCTCTGAAGGAATTTTTTCTGAAAGTTAATAATCTTCTCTATAACTTTGTTGTCAAATATTACATCTTCTTTTTGCCTAAATTTCCTAACAAGAAAAACTTCAAAATAAGGGATTACAATTTCTTTTTGCCTAAATATCCTAACAAGAACAATTTATAAATAAAAAAACGTAGTCATAATAGAAATTTTAAAAATATCATAACACCATGACTTCAAAAAAAAGAGAATAAAAAAGGATAAAAGACAGAACAACAAAAAAACTTGCATGGACCATTAAAAAGCAGATTAGGAAGATACATTTGAAAGGTAGCATAGAGAAATTTTCCTTTTAAATTCTAGGTTCAATTAGGGATTGCTCCAATTAAGAAAGAGGGAAAATATCCAGTAAGAAGAAAGAAGGATTATGCGCTTGGCAAACACACATGGAGAGGTGCATATGATGAAACAAATTATCCTCAGAGGCACATAGTTTTCAGTCTATGCCAACAAAAACAAACATACAGACATACGTACCACCATGATATATATCCATGTCACGATGGATAGATATATAATCCTGTACTGCAGAGTTTATTCAAGGAAAAGAAGGTAATGAAAATGCAAGCATCATTTGGATGATTTGGAGGTTACCAAGGCTACTTGTTCTAGCAACAGAAGTTAATTTGTGGAGGTTGCTACGTCTGTAACATTACACAGACCTGAAATTAAAACATGAATTCGTAAATTGAAAAGATTGGAATAGAATAAATAACTTAATTAACTTACAACTTTCGCATTGCCTACTCACAATTGTTACAAAATGACCATTGAGACTCAATCTGATTAAAAAAAAAAAAAAATTTGATAATAATAACAATAATAATAAAATCGTTTTGAAATGACCACGATGTTCCTCACTGACTTCTATATATTATAACACACACGGAATAAAATGGAAGGAAGAAATATAATTAAGAGAGAGAGTTATTAAGTGGTTTAAGACATTTGGCCTTTTAGACATTTCACATCTTTTGTGTGTGTGTGTGTGTGTTTGTTTTTTTTTAAAAAATTCTACCGTAAAGGTATGGGTAGAGTTCAAAAACCCATGTGTTATATAAAATATGTATACCAAAAGTGGTGATATCTCTTCTATGTGTGTGTGTGTGTGAAATGTGTGAAAACTCCTTTGAAGGAACATTATAGTCATTTCAAAAGGAATTTGCAACCTGAATAACTCCAAACTCGAAAACCTCCAACTTTAACGAGCTAAGCCTGGACAACTTCAAATTGACTCAATTTATTTGCAACCCTACTTGCAGCAATTGGCTGTCATTTTGGTTAATTTGATCTGTCCCTTAGTTTGGATTATTGAAAAACGGGATTGTTATTTATTATCCTTCAAAAAATAAAAAGATTTGAAAAGAAACAATAACAACTTATGTGACAATTTCATAATGCCTAAAATAATTCTAACATTTTAATATAAGAAATTTAAAAGACATTTGGATCTCACCTTTACATTAGGATATGATAGTTCTTTTTTTTAAACAAGAACCGTTATCAATTTTTTCTTATTAAAACTAATTTATGCAAAAATGAGCTATCTTTTCTGTAATGTTATTATTTATTTATTTTCTATTTTTTATTTTTCTTTTCACTTCTATTTATCCAGACCTGCATTGTCTAATCAAGTTTTCCCACACGGTGAAAGAAAATTCTCTCTTTCTCATACTCCAATACTGAAGTCCAAAACAGTTTATTTGTTCACATCTGGTTGAAAATTCCACAATCCCACACTACGGTGAAGACTCTCCGTCTTCAGCCGCATCGCCAACACCTTCCCAATGGTGGCCACCGCTCGTTGTTGTTGGTCCAACCACACCTAAAACCGCCTTGAAAGTGGATTTTGTTTTCCAAATGGGGATCTTAGTAACTAACAAATCGACCTCCTAAACACGTACAGAACTAGTGGAAGATGGGAAGGATTTTAGAGAGAAGAATGGAAAGGATTTTAGAGAAAGAAGAATGCAAAAAATTATATGGTTAGGTAGGATTTAGGAATGGAGGACGGGGTGGAGCAACTGGTAGCAGAATGAAAGACAGATCAGTGGGGAAGATGAGCATCAGTCGTGAGAAAAAAGAGTGGGTTTTAGAGACAGATTGTTATGATATGACATAAGTTTTTAGAGATGAAATTCTTTGGTACAAGGATTCCATCCATTAGCCCGTAACCAAATGGGCTTAGATCCATGTTTAAATTTTTTGGGTTTGAAACACGTCTAAATTTTATTGGGCCACGACCCAAGAGAAAAGTTCGCTCTCATAGGCCGGACCCGATTTGTTGTTGTTTTTCTTCATAGTTGTGGCAACAGTAAGTTTTGTCCTTTAAACTAATGTCAAAAGTATGAGGTCGCATTTTAACCTGTGTTAATGTATTTCCAATCATAATTTCAAGTATCTCATGATACTACATATTTATATATATCAATTCTCATTCTCATAATTCTCTACATACCTCTCAAATCTGATTCTCACGAGGCTCTGCATAGCTTTCTATCTTCATTCTCATCTCAATTGCTAATTGTTTATACCCTTATTTTCCATTTTCCAGTTGAAGATTACCTAGGTCGATTTCAATGGAAAGGTATTACAGCGTTCTAGTGAAAAGTCTTACAACACATGGCAGCCAAAGAAGCAAGCAATTACAAGTGGTTACATGCAAAGTCATGGGACACATAGCAGCCTACAAAATGAGTGGTTACATGCAAAGTCATGTGACACATCCTAGGAAGTGAGCGGTTACATGCAAAGTCATGGGACACATGGCAGCTTACGAAGCTGGTCGATTCCAATTAAAGGTACTACGACATTCCAATGGAAAATCTTGGGATACATGGCAGTCAAGGAAGCAAGCGGTTACATGTAAAGTCATGGGACACATCTTAGGAAGTGAGCGGTTACAAACGGTTATATGCAAAGTCATGAGACACATCCTAGAAAGTGAACGGTTACATGCAAAGTCATGGGATACATGATAGCCTAGAAAGTGAACGGTTTCAATGGAAAGGTACTACGACATTCCAGTGGAAAGTCTTGGGACACATGGCAGCCAATAAAGCAAGCGGTTACATGCAAAGTCATGGGACACATAGTAGCTTAAGAAGCAAGCGGTTACATGCAAGCTACCATTACTCAACTCTCTAAATAGGGCATGATATTGTAACTTAGAAGGCCTGCTCAACGCCAATCAAACTACGCATTTCAATACAATCTTCATGTTTTGCAATGCACTTTCAATATGATTAGTCTTAGTCCTGCACTTTACTAATAAAAGGCAGAGAGATTTTTTTTAGAATTTTAGATTTTATTAGGGTTTGTTACTATTTTCATTTATTTTATTAAAATTTTATTTAAGATAATAAACTACTATATATTAGTGGGATAGGTCCATACCCTTGCCAAAGTGATAGGGAAAAAGCTTCATCAAATTTAGAACCCTTTTATGAAATTGTTGAGCGCAAACTGGTAGTACCTGAAGGACAGCATGCAAAGAAAATTTTTTAGAAAAAATTACAACAGTGCACCTTCAAGAATTAAACAATAAAGTAATTCACAATGCAGGAAAAATGTTTATATGAGAATTGAGATAGAGAAAATACATCCAAGGATCATATGCTTTTATTAAACATTGACGATGAAACAAATTATCCTTAGAGTTAGATTTAAAGATATACATTTCAAATTTTCCTTAAATGCCAGGATGGTTACTGCAGAGTACAACTTACTCTAAGAAAAGAAGGTAAATGAAAATGCGACATAAGAATGAGTTTGGGTGATTTGGAGTTTATCAAGAGCTACTTGTTCCGGCAACAGAAAAGTTAATTTTAACAGATCGTCAGGTCTGTAAAACAATTAAAACATGAATTTGTAAATGGAAGAGAGTAGAATAGAATAACCAACAGTTGTAATCAATGCTTGGAGACGATGAAACAAGAACCTCATTACCTTCGAAATAGCCGCGTGAAATTATTGCTTGATACATATCTTTAAGAACACTTTCCTGGATGTTCGAAGCTATCACATTAACAAAGCATAGTTGATATATATCAAATAATTAAAAATTCTACCTGTAAACAATGTCTAAAAATAGATTTCAATATCTGCCACCATATATATTCTAGAAATATGAATAAGATTCTAATACAACAACTAATAATATACTTCAATAGAATTTTATGAAATATGAATTATAAGATTTAACTTTCTAGCATTATAATATATTTGAAAAAAAAAAAAAAAAAAAAAAAGAGAAAAGAAAAGTAGTTTTGTTTGTTTACTAAATATAATCATCCCTTTTTAATAGTGTGTTAAGCAATATTACCAATTTACGAGGCAACCTCCGTCAATCTCGGACATCGGAGTCTTTCTGAATATTTCAAGAGAGGCAGTGCTCCTGCATCTGCTTTCACGGAAATTAATTTAGTCATCCACACGAGATCAAGTCGTTCAAGTTTCAGAAATACCCCTGCCTCAAAATGCAAGGCCTTGCCATCATATGCGTTAACAAGCACAAGCTCTACTAAACTGGGCAGAGTTTGAAGGAATTTTAATGGATCCTCTGTCAACCTTGAGTCGTTCAAACTTATTGTGATCAAATGTCGAAGTTTAGAAATCCAACAAGGGTACTTCTCCAAATGCCCAGTCAAGACAAGACGTTGTAGAGAATCAGGTGGAGATGAAATATGTTGTAAATCAATAATGTCATTCCGAGTTACACTTGAATGCAAAGATTCTTTCCGTCCTCTTTTTTTCACGTTATCCATGCTTAATTTCCTCAACTGCCTTACCATTATTAGCTCATCAACTAGGCTTCCTCCATCATCATTTGCCAGGTCCACTAACTTTAGCTCTTGCAAGTCCTTTTAACAACCAAACCCTTCTTGTATCTTTACTCCACAGTATTTAGTTTTGCAGGTCGCAACAAGATGTCGCAATTTATGTAGCCTATTGATCTCAATAGGTAGCATATCCACATGGCTGTTTTTCAGATCCAACGTCAGTAGGTAGCGTAGCCTGCCGATTAACTTAGGAAGAATCCTTACTTTAGTTTTTCTCAAACCTAGATACCTCAAATGGAGTACATTTCTCACTTCTTCTGGCACACAATCTAATGTCGGGGCATCTTCAAAATCTAAAACCTTCAAAAGCTTGAAATTTGACATTAATGTGCCTATGAAAGACACTATCAATTCGTCACTTTCAAAAGTAAAGACAGAACGTGTTCTAGACTTACTAATTCTATTCATAACATTATCGTCTGTTGTGTTGTGGATAGATAAGCGTCTAAATTGTCCATCGTCTGAAATAGAGTTATCTTTTGCCAAAAGTACTAACTCCTCGTCTTCAAACTAACTCCTTGTCTTTGAAGAGGATGATCTCACGCATTATATCATGATCTCAACATGGGTGAATTTTTTTACGAACTTGTTTGAAGGCAGGCAACATTTGAACCAAACTCTTGCGAACGAGCTCTTTCAAGTATTCTTCTGCAACCTCTTCCACTGTTTTACCTCTATCTTCTTTTACAAAACCTTCAGCTATCCATAAACAAACTAGTCTTCCACGTGTAATGGAATAGTCTTCTGGAAATTAATATGCTAAAATACAAGAAACAAACTCTGAGGTGGTGGAGCAAATCAAGATAACTAAATAGAATAATCTTCTTGACATCTGCCAAACAAGGGTTACTTTTCAACTCAGAACCAAGTCTATCATGAAACTTTTGCCACTCCAATACCGTCTTATCTTTGGTTGACAATAGACGACCTATCGTCATAATAGCAAGTGGCACTACATTATATTTTTTAACGATTTCATTAGACACTTTCTTCAAACTCCTCAGGACAATTAGATTGGAATGCCCTTTTGCAGAAGAAATCCCATGCTTTATTGTGTGGCGGGCCCTTTGATTTGATAAATCTTATTAAATTTAGATTCTTGGCTGAAAGTAGCCACATCATTGTTTCTCGTAGTTATAATTACCAGACTACCTTTATTATCATCAGGTTAAAGCATTTTTTATGAAATTCCAAAATGTTATGTCCCATAAATCGTCAAAAATAACCACATACCTTTTTGTAGTAAATTCTCTCTTAGCTTGCCGATTAGCAATGCCTCGTCCATTGTTTCGGTTGCATTGGAATCAGCTTCACAAAGCCTCTTCATTACAGTGCTCAATAGCTCATTTTTGTTGTATGATTGAGAGACGGTTATCCAAGCATGGCAAACAAAGTTACGAGATGCAATTTGGTCATCGTAGATTTTCTTCACAAAAGTTGTCTTTCCAAGTCCACCCACACCAACCACTGAAATCACCCTCTTTTTGATGATACTTCCTCCGCCATCAAGGTCATCAGTTTAGCTCGTCGTGTTTCGATTCCCACCACTTCAGCTTCGTCAAGGAAAAGTGAAGCCACTCGAGGATCATGCCATGTTGACTCATTCTTGACCTTATTGTCGCTGTTGCTGCTTGATCCTTCCTCTATAACATGTATTCCATATCTGTCGCGTAGTTGGTGGATCTCACGGATAGTTATTTTGATCTTTATAATCTCAGAGGCTATCTCGTGTTGTGGTTTATCATGCAACCTTGTAAAGGTTATTGATGAACCCGCGATGTTGAGTGAAGGGTTGTGTCATCACGTGAAATATGTATCCATCGATCACATCTTCTATCCGGTGAGATACTTTCTTTACTTGTTTCACCAAAGCTTTTACACCATCATTGCTCTCTCCTCTATCGGTTCTTTCATCTGCATCCTTCAAATAAGGCCTGATGACCTCTAATTCAACTTTGATGCTTTCGAATTCTTTGTGAACCACCTCCCAAAAGATTCACCTCTTCTTTAAGTAATGGAACCAAATTATCAATCACAAGGTTACTAATTAAATCAAGTTATACTGTAGATACACTTTGTCACAGTGCACCTCCCCCATTAGTACTTAGACCTGAAACTAGGATAAATTTTATAATTATTGAATAGATCCATGTTAAACTTCTTTTAATCAATGGTCCATGCCAGCCACTTGACAAAAAAAAAAGAAAAAAAAGTATTTTTCTTACTTTCTCCATACCAAAATAAGTGTCCACATTTTTATGCTTAGGAGTTTCAAAATAATTGTCCTAATTCAAAGTGTATTACATTTTTTAATATTCTCAATTTACCTTTCTTACATTAAACTTATAAAAATCTTGGTTCATCATATCAACCTATATGCAATGTTCGTAACCTTTTTTAAGGGTCCGATATCATTACACACGTACATGAACCAGCTGAATCAGTCGATTTACATCAATATTCATTCGAGTTCATTATACCCTGACCGCGACCGCGATCGATATTGTGACTGTTATCGCGATCGATACCGCGACTGCGAATCATAATAAAAATAAGAGAAGTGATAGATCTTTCGACTTTAATTGCCGACTACTCCTCCGAATATAACGTGATTGGAAATGAGTCGAAGAGAAATAGATGTTTACGGAAATTTTTTTAAGAGTTCCAATGAGATTCAACCACATTGTATTCGGAAGAAGAGTTGATAATTAACGTTGGAAGACCTATCATTTTTCTAAAACTACTTATCTATAGTTTATATCATCTACTATCAACAGGCACAAACTCAGTTCAGGATCCGCCCCCACTAGATTGTTTCTAATTTACATTATTATCTATAGTTTTAATTAAATTTTTAAAAATGCCCCTACTCAATTTTTTAAAATACCTCCCTTCACATTTTTATCTCACTAATTTCTCCACCAATTTTTTTTTAATTTATATTATTACCTAAAGTTTTAGCTAAAATTTCAAAAATACCCCCACTAAATTTTTAAAATGCCCCACTGCACAATTTTTTTTTTCAAATTTGTCTACAATTTTTTTTTATTCTTCAACGATGCCCCCCCTCAAAATAATTTCTGGTCCATCACTGGCTATCCAGATATACAGTTTGATATGAGGTTAATATCCTTTTGAGGAAGTAGGCTGGAGGAAGTTACGATAATTTGGTGTGTGGAACAAACACTTCCATTACAAGCTGTTTTAAAACTCTGAAGTTTGTCTTCAATTAGTTTGCATATTCCTCATTTTTGTAAATAAATTTGTTTTGCCTTTAAAAAAATGAGCAAAGTGCTTTGAAAAATATTTTTATTTACTTTTGATCGTGGCAACTTAACTCCCAAGATGCACATTTGGGAAGATTGAACCTTAGAATATGCATTTGGAGATACTTGAATCCTCTATCTTTTATGTTAGGTGATGATAATTGGATTCCTCCAATGGGCTTTTCTCTAATTTATTTTGTTGATCTCTCCATCCCTCTCTCTTCCTCTCAACTCTAGCAAAATTCATTAGGATGATTTTAGTCTTCACCCTTAATTTGTTTTTAATCTCAACCGCTATTATGTACATGATTCAGTGTATGGTTGTACAAAATATTTTAGTTAGGCACATACCACTTTTGTTGCTAAATTTTACCCCAGACGATGTTTAGAGTTGGTTGTCAAATGTATAAATATGAACATAAAGAATACACTGGCCCAAGGGAAAAAGAGACAGGCTTTATAAAAGGAGGCCATGGCACCCAAGGCTGAAAGGCAGCCCAAACACAAAAGAGAGAACCTTAATCACGAAAAATGGAGAAGGGCCCAATCACAGGCCCATCAGATAATAATAAAAATCTAACATTTATATAATTTACAGTTAATGCCATTTTAGAGGTGGTGATAATTGGATTCCTCCGATGGACTTTTCAGTAGTGTAAGAGCTCAGCCCATCAATTCCTTCCAACTAGAAGGGTGAGGGTAAAGAAATATATGTGATGTAGCAAGCACTAAACTTGAATTTTCAATAAAATAATTACTAATTTGCTTAAAATTTTATTGACCTTGGTATAATATGCTTAGGAGATAAAAATTTAAAATAATAATAAAAATAAAAATTTATTGACCTTGGTTTGCTTCGAAGAATATGAATCAATTGATTAGGCCCACTTTGTATTATACATAAATTGTCACAAAACGAAGTATAACGGAACTTCATGTTTTGATTTGACTATTTTTTAAGGCCAGGAAATAGAAATGCAAATGGACTTAGAAGGATGATTATCACGATCACACTAATAAAAATCAACTCTTGTAGTAAAAGTAATAGATGGACTAAGTGATTTATCAAACCAATTGTTAGCCAAACTACTAAAATTTTAGATATGACTACATAGCTCTCCAAGCAAGAAAGTAAAATTGAGTTCCCAGAGCTCTCCAGATAATTTAGGTTTATATATCAATTAAAAAAAAAATGGAGAACAAGAAATTCAATTTCAATTCCTAAAATATAAGAGAAATATGTGAAAAAGGATTTTACTGATTAAATTAGTTTAAAAAATTTTTAAAAAAAATAATGAATTAACATAATGCTTCATAATCACACAAATGCAGTGACGCACTATCACTACTAATTAATACACCTAAGTAAAATATACTTCATTAAAAAGTATAACACAAGTCCAAATCAACAAAAGGAAAAAATTTAATTTAATTGAAATTTCTTCAATCACAAATTTTCGATGCAATAGTTGAACTCTATTTACTGTAGTCGCACAAAATTAGTCAATCAAAATTAGGTTACGTATGAATGAAGCAACTAATAAAAGAATTGGCAGGCCCATAGGTCGGTCAAGACATTGAAATGGGCTATTTGAATTCTGGTTGGTGCCCCATGTGATCTAAGTCCCAATCCATGGGACCATATACAATTAAATAATTTTACAAATCGTTTTCATCACGATCCCAGAATCCAGATCCACATATAATGCTATTTATTTCCCAAAGTTGCATTCATTATCAAACCTCAATATCTCACTCTTTCAGTCAGACCAGTGGTTCAACGAGCCCTTTTAAACTCAAATCTCTAATTTTTATTTCTCATCTTCACATTTGTTTATTCGGATTTATACAAGTTCCTGAATCATAAATAAAATTCAATTCCCAACATTATGCTAATTCTTAGTAAATTTATGTATATATATATATATATATATATATATATATATATAAGTATATATTTGCAACCATTTAATAATAAATGCATTTGTTTGCCTCCAAAAAAATGTCACATATTAGGGTAACGTGCAAGACACAATGAAAGAACGCTACACACAAATTTATTTTTAATTTTGCCCAGCAAATTGTAGTAAGACTGATTAAACCTAAAATCAAGTATTGAATATATTTTTAAGTATTTTTTTCTTGGAGATGTTAATTACACTGAACCACACTTGATATAGTGTAATTTGGGGGATTTAAATTTTTTATAGTTTCAATCTATGTAAAATGACTCATTTTTGTTTTTATTTATTTATTTATTTTTATAGTATTATAATTAAAATTGTCAAGAGAAATGCTACTGTTATTTGGAGATTTGATGATTACGATCATTTGAGTTACAATTTTCTTGTCGAGAAGGAATTTGGATTAGAAGGTCCAGCGATCAAGTGCACGAGAGATGATCTCATTTCATGTGAAAGACGAATTTTATGTATACGGTGGATTCTACCTCTTTTAAGATGATTTACACTTTTTTTAATAAAACAATATCATTAATTTCAAATCAATCACCACTCACCAATTGATGTGCAAATAAATGTATCAAATTTTTTTCTTACATATCAACTATTTATTTATTATCCTAAAACACTTAAATATTTCTCTAAATCACAACACCACAAACAAACAAAATTCTAAACAAAACTACAAATTTATTTGTGTATGGAATTGTAGACCATGTACGTGTTGGGAAACGTGCTAATTTTAAAACCTTTTCGAGGGATTTAAATTCATAGATCTTGATTCATCACATAGAGACAAGTTTTATGCAAAAAAAAATAAAATATGATGTATTATTCAACTAAAAGATTGAATACTTACATCAAGGTTTGAGTAAACCTCAGATCTCTCCTCTAAAGTGAATGTTCTCACTTATTGTAGATCCCTTTTGCTAGACATCTTTTCCATGGATCTCCATCTTCTTGGTAATGGTCTTGCCTTTAGGAATCACTCATAAGCCTCCATGAATGACCTTGGAAAACTAGGCTTGTGGGAGCCTCCATTAGATGAGAACATAAACCCTAATTTTCTAGAGAGAGAAAATTTATTCCTTTTTCCTTCT